GAACTTCCTTTGTAGCTCATCTTAGAGCAAAATCTTACCAAATATGCATTGAATAAATACTGAGCGCAAGGCCAGACGCTCTGCAGAGGCAGTGGGTTGGTTACTCATAGGGCTGCTAGCTGAAAAGTCAGCATTTTGAACCTACCAGGCAGAGTCTCTGGGTGGTATACACAGTTAATGGGCTCGGCTACGAAGTGTAAAGTTGGATATTCAAGTCTACCTAGAGAGACCTTGAAAGAAAGGCCTGGCGATCTACTTGAGGAAACAAAAGAACAATTAAAAAGTGCCAGCCACTGAAAAGCCTATGGAGCACAGTGCCTTTCTGAGACACAGGGCTGCCATGGATTCAAGTGCCAGGCATGGAAGCAATGACAGGTCCCTGGACTGGCACACTCTGTGCTTGACTAACTGTCCTAGAGAGTTGCTTTCATGGGAGTTAAAACAAGACCACCCCAGGGAGTGCAGCTCTACTCTGAAGCTCGAGGAGGGGCAACAAGTCTTATTGGTTTGTTTATTTACTCAACAGATGGACCTGGCATTGTCAGTGTAACTCCTGGTCTCAAGGAGGCAACTCCCCAGACTTGGTTACTGGACCCTGCATCCCATGACGCTCTCGGGCAGTGGTTCTCAACCTCCCTAATGCTGCGACCCTTTAATACAGTGCCTCGTGCTGTGGTGACCCCCCAACCATGAAGTTAGTTTTATTGCTACTTCATACTGTAATTGTGCTACTGGTATGAATCATAATGTAAACATCTGATAGGCAGGATGTATTTTCATTGTTACAAATTGAACATAATTAAAGATAGTGATTCATCAAAAATAATATATAATTATATATTGTGAAATATTTATTTCTAATGACAAATAAATGAAACTTTGTCTTGAAGCATGGTGTAGCATGAGTAACAGTTTTCATGCTGGGTTCTCGCATGTGGGCGTGTCTGCATGTGGGCGGACCCCTCTGCAGACAGATAGAGGTTCCTAAGACCATCGGAAATAGGTGTTAGGTGACCCCTGTAAAACGGTCGTTCAACTCCCAAAGGGGTCGCAACCCACAGGTTGAGAACCGCTGCTCTAGGGCTTCTGGAGGCAAGGAGAGAGTTCCCACCAGGGCCCCGCTTCACCTGACGCTGCAGTTCCATGTTCCTGGCTGTGGTACAGCTTTTCTCAGTCCAGAGCCCCTCATTTGTACCTCAGAAACGTCTGAACGCAGGGTTTGAAATAAGGACTCCATTGTTTTAAGTCGGGCAGGTGGACGCATGGTCCACTGCCGGAGAAGGCCGTTGCCTCACATGAAGGAATGTTCATGATCTCCCTTGAAGAAGAAACGAATTCAGGTGTATTCCCGAGGCGGGCGATCACTGTCATTGCCCTTCGGTGTGTGCTGCTGTGAGCCCTGGTGGTGGAAGCCCTCTGCTACTAACAGAAAAGTCTGCTCTCTCTAAGGTTTATAGCCTTGGAAACCCTGTGGGATCCCAAGACCCTGCATAGACACAACAGCAGTGGTAAGAAATGAGTTCCTTGCCAGAGGCCAAAAGCTAGAGATTCAGATTTAACAACATCCCTGCCTTATTTTACCCAAAAGGGGTGGTGTGGCATTTAATACAAGGTCAAAAAGATCTTAATTCACACGCTGATTCTATTACTTACTTAGCTGTGTGACTATGGCCACGTTACTAATCCTTTCTGAACTTGAGTTCTCACCTGGTAAATAAAAACAATACCATCAACCTCCAAGCATAGTTGTAAGGATCAAATGATAGACCCCCGTGTTAGGCAACAATCGTTAACTCAGGCAACATTATGTCTGCTCTGGGACAGGCTCGTTATCTGAGCTTCGTATTTATGCTTCACCCACTCAATCGTGATAGTACCATCCCTATTTTATAGTGGATAAACTGGGAGAAAAAAACAGGTCAAGTAATTTGCCCAAAGTCACAAACAAAAGGCCAGATTCATCCCTGCTCACAAGTCTGACACTTGTCTGTGTCAAATACAAGCCTCAGAGGGGAAGAGACATGAGCCCCGCCCCCGCAGGCAGGCATTTGAATCTGGGCTCTTTCCCATGCCCTTTCCCAGAGAGCGGCCTACTTTCAGGTACCATCAGTCTCTTATAGGAGGGGGCTTCAAAATGTGCGAGGAAAAAGGAATGAAAAGATAAGGGAATTTTCCCATGAATTTCTTTTGAAGCGTCATCTTATATGTACGGACCAGGTTGTTAAATTATTCATGTATGCTTGGGTGTTTCTTACTGTGTGATGTTGGCAGTTATATAACTGGACTTCACCCTCAGTTTTCACATCTGTAAAATGGAGGTAGTAACAGTTCCTCCTTCAAAAAATTTTGTTCAAAAAACCCCACAAAAAATCTCAACCTAGTAAAGGTTGAGAAGAGCCGCTGACTCACAGAACAGGGTCCAACCAGGAATGTACCTTTTGTATCTAGTCATCACCAGGGGGGTGTATCAGGACTGAAGCTACAGTGCTTGCTAAAGGGGATGGGGCAGCCAGCTGAAGGTTCGAATGGCTACCCTTGTTCTCTGGCAAATATGCTGCATTAGAAATAGATGTTCTTTTTCAGTCAATCAATGAAAAGAAAAAGAGGCCTGTTGGATTCTGGCCAGAAAGAACCTAGGCAGGGCCTAAATGAAATCAGACTCAAAGTAAGAATTTTAACAACTGAAAAAAAAAACCCAGAGTGGGCTTCCTGGTGACTTCTTCAGGGTTTGAATAGTATTCCACCTACTGGATCAGTGCTACGACTGGGACCCTAATGGGCAGAGAGCGAGTGAAAAATTTATGGCCTGGTAAAAATCCTTGGGTGATATAGGTTAAAGCAACTTGATCCCCGACGCTGTTGAATACCACCAGTTTTATACGTGGAAGAGGGCAGCCCTCGTGAACATGTTGGACATAAAACAAAATGCCACATGAAAGGAAATGCTGGAGAGCAGATAGAGCAAGCGAGCTCATGTGAACACTCGGCGGTAATCTTTATGGCTTTGTACTTACTCATCTTGCGCCACATTTAAAATTCACAATAAAAGGCACAAGCCGAGGGAGAGGGGGGCAGCACTATTACTCTTGTCACCGCCTTTCCACATGCCACTGAGACACAAAACAGGGTTTCACCACTCGGATTGTGAGGGAAGGGGGCATTCATCTTGCCCCATGTCTGTAGCTGCTGCCACAGCCACAGTATCATGGTTCCCATTTATGGGATTAATCATGTAAATCTGCAGCAGACGACACCGCTGGAAAACAGAAACTGCTGTGGATCCCCCCACCCAGTGCTTCCACATTTCTCCTCCAGGGCCCTTATCTGGGCGCCCAAAGGCTGATACTGAACATTTAGTCAATGGGTGAGGCCTGTTGAGAAATCTACATGCTCTGGGAGATTTCATGGATAAATTTCAACCATTCCTTGAATACACATAACGTCTTGGCCCTCTATTTTCCATGTGACAATGCTAAACACTTCACAAGGGCCCCAAGTCAACTCTCGATGCTGAAATGTTGAGGAGTTTGTGCTGCACGCCTACCCTGTGCTGTCTGCGTTTAACTGCTAACAAAAATGCACCACCTAAACCCCTGGCCATCGGTTCTGATTCATAATTGTTATTAAGAGTTCGTAAAAATTACCGAGAGTATCAAAGAGACCTCTGGAACGATCCAGAAGGGGAAAGTGGCATAAGTTAGAATGGTGTATGATTCTTTTAGGTCATTTCAGGGATACCAGTTGGGATATCAGGTAGTGTTCTATTAACTGTTTGCTAGCCAGCTTCCTGGTAAGCCTTTTGTCTTTCTTTCATATTAAGGGGAAATCCAGGAAGCTGACTTTGCTATTCAAATACAGACATCCTCTGCCTGGCCACTTTTTCTGCTGTTTAAAGGCAGCACCCCAGAGAAACTCTTCAGATATTGAAAGGCCTAAAAGCTGGGGGGAAGGAATCCTTGTGTTCTCTCTTTAACACATTCATCAGAATCCTCCTCCTTCCCAGGGACTCCCTCCCGTTCCCCTATACCCTCCACTCCCCCAAATACATCAAAACTGTTGCAATGCCGCCCTGTCATTGCTATTCCCGGCCTCATTTTAATTCATGCACTTCTTTCTTTTTTTTTTTTTTTAAACAAAATGTAATTACTTGACTGTCAGCCCGGGCTGCACTCTGGAGCTTTTACTCCTTTCAACACAGCTGCGCTCCGGGCTTTGATGCTGCTGTCTATGCGGCTCCTCTCAGCCACAGCCTGGCTCTCCGTAATGTAACATTCAAGTGCATATTTATTTTTAAACTGACCTCTCCTAGACTGTACAGTATAAAGGAGGTCCTGCCAAAAACGATGCTACTTTCTATTTATAAGATGAAACACATGCCTCCCCAAGTCGGGAGGGGGGTGGAGAATCCTAATTCTTAAGAGGAAAATGACTGGCCAGATCCATTCATCCTCACGTGGCTGATACTTGCCTGTGTCAAGATTCTTAGTTTCAATGAGACAGATTAGAAGATGGGGAAAAAGGGAGAAAAAAAACACATTGAAAACGCGTCAGCTGTTCAAAAACCACATTTTAAAAAATCATCTGCAGGTCTCTCATCTGAGTGGAGAGGACTTCGGGCGGGTACTGCCTCGCAGATGGGTGCACCCGTGTGCAGTTCTGCCTGGTGCCAATCCTCCAACAGAGGGGCGCGGCAGCCATGTGTGGCTTTTTCTCAGATGGAAAAATGCTACAATGTGCCCAGAAATGGCTCTGTCCACAGCTCCGAGAGGGTGCGGTGTAGGCACGCAGCTCCACCCTGAAAAGTGGTGGGCACGAATGGCGGAATGGTACAACCTGGGGGGTGCTGTCCGGACCCCTGCGGGTACCCGGACATCAGCTGGGAAGGCCATGCCCTCCCTCTGTATCCCCGCTCCCCATTCGTTTCCAAGCCCAGTTCGGAAGCAGCCACGGACGGACAGACACACATGCAGACAGGCAGACAGGGGTTGGCAACAACTCACCAGGTCCTGGGGATCCCAGCTGGGGCTCCGGAGCCCTGCGCCGACGCCCCGCCGACAGCTCGCCGGCTCGCCCGCTGCGCACAGACAGATCCGGCCGGGTCGGCCCGACGCGGCCACTGCTCACAGCTGGCCTCGCG